CCCTGCTGGGTGTCATCAGCTGTTGTTTGCAGTCATATCTGGCAGCCAGAAAGGAAATGGCTTTCTAAACTCGACGAGCAATAATAAGATCAGAGGTGTGTCTCCTTCCTGGCCACGAGCATCTCCTCTTTTCCCTTCATTGAATCATTGCCAGTATGGATGCCGGGAGACTCTCGCAGTGGGTTAAACCACAAACCCTGGATGAGAGAGGGCATGGCTGCAGCACCATCAAGTTGTTAAAGGGCATTTAGCTGATTTACTTGGCTTAACATCGTCTTTGAACATCTCCAGACTCAGCTGCAACCTGATTCAGTTGTTAGTGCCACTTGATTTGATCTGTGTTACTTGGAAAATCTATCTGACTTGAGTCATGGAAATGTTTTCAGCTGGAAGGAATTCCCCTCCAGCTGAAACGGTAATATTGTTGCCTGGCTGCATCTGCTGGGATCAGGGTTTTCCTCCTCGTGTTCCCAGCTGGGCCCAGTCCCTACAGAGGGATGGAGTTTCTGCTCTAACGTGTGAGACACATGTAGCTGTAGCCACTTTAAAGAGCTGACGTCTCTGTGACCAGCAGTAACTTCAACAAACCAGTCTGAATGGGACCAGTGCTGTACGTGTGCTGGAGCCACACATTCCCCCTGCAAATGAAGTGAAACCAGCTTGTTTCTGCTTTTTGTTTCGCTGTGTTCGTTCCCAGAGTCACTGGTGGCGAGCTGTTCGAGGACATCGTTGCCAGGGAGTACTACAGTGAAGCTGATGCCAGGTCAGTGTGAGCTCTTTCCTTTCTGCGTTACTGTAGACGTGTCATGTGACTCGCTCTCCCTCGGCAGCAAAGGCGTATTCATGCAGCCACAGTGAACTAGAGCAGACACACAATGACAGCTGATCACAGTGGATGTTTGCAAAGCTCATCATGCCTCACGTATGCATCTATGCCTTTTGTGCCCCAAACCCTCTGTACCTTTTCTCTGTCCCTTTATGAGGAGGCTCCTTCCTCAGCTTCTGTTCTGCTTATTAAAAATCACCCATAAAGCAAATAATCCAGAGTAGGGATGGGTATCGTTTAGGTTAGGTTAGCAGTGCTTAAACAATGGAAAAAACACAAACTTTGTCCAAAACCTCTCATGTTTAACTGTTTTTTGTAAAAAGATAACAGTGTTAGCCTTTTCTGCAGCTATGGGGCATATATGGTATCACTCTTGTCAGGAAGCAGTGCTTAAACAATGGAAAAAACACAAACTTTGTCCAAAAACCTCTCATGTTTAACTGTTTTTTTGTAAAAAGATAACAATGTTAGCCTTTTCTGCAGCTATGGGGCATATATGGTATCACTCTTGGCTGGAAGCAGTGCTTAAACAATGAAAAAACACAAACTTTGTCCAAAACCTCTCATGTTTAACTGTTTTTTGTAAAAAGATAACAATGTTAGCCTTTTCTGCAGCTATGGGGCATATATGGTATCACTCTTGGCTGGAAGCAGTGCTTAAACAATGGAAAAAACACAAACTTTGTCCAAAAACCTCTCATGTTCAGCTGTTTTTTTGTAAAAAGATAACAGTGTTAGCCTTTTCTGCAGCTATGGGGCATATATGGTATCACTCTTGGCTGGAAGCAGTGCTTAAACAATGAAAAAACACAAACTTTGTCCAAAAACCTCTCATGTTCACTGTTTTTGTAAAAAGATAACAATGTTAGCCTTTTCTGCAGCTATGGGCATATATGGTATCACTCTTGGCTGGAAGCAGTGCTTAAACAATGGAAAAAACACAAACTTTGTCCAAAAACCTCTCATGTTCATCTGTTTTTTGTAAAAAGATAACAATGTTAGCCTTTTCTGCAGCTATGGGGCATATATGGTATCACTCTTGGCTGGAAGCAGTGCTTAAACAATGGAAAAAACACAAACTTTGTCCAAAACCTCTCATGTTCATCTGTTTTTTGTAAAAAGATAACAATGTTAGCCTTTTCTGCAGCTATGGGGCATATATGGCATCACTCTTGGCTGGAAGCAGTGCTTAAACAATGAAAAAAACACAAACTTTGTCCAAAACCTCTCATATTTAACTGTTTTTTGTAAAAAGATAACAATGTTAGCCTTTTCTGCAGCTATGGGGCATATATGGCATCACTCTTGGCTGGAAGCAGTGCTTAACAATGGAAAAAAACACAAACTTTGTCCTAAACCTCTCATGTTAACTGTTCCCTCTTTTTCTTTGGTCATTTTAGCCTTTTTGGCCAGGGTGAAGGGAGTATCTGCCATCAAACAAGAAGACAGCCGCATGTACTATGATGATGTTTGCTAGTTCACCTTACATGCATTAATGTAATAACGTGGTTAGCCTACTCAACGTAAATTACACACAAACAAGATTAAGCTACTCACGCAGAGAAGAACGGCTGCTGCTGCATCATCATCCTCATCATTTCTGCTACACTGGCAGGGCTAGGGGCCAGGACTCTCCTCTTCAGGTTTTTGGGGGATGTTGCTAACTCTGGGTCC